TGGAGAAGAAGCGTGACTAGGTGATCTGCACCACTGCCTGCGTGGCTGGAATGGCTCACTCTGCACATGGAGAGATCTGCCTCGTTTGTGTGGTCCTTTCGAGTGTCTTCTAATTCAAACATAATAGCAAACCCCAGAATATAATGGCAAACCCAGAGCACCGCACTGCGTCTTGCCCATGGTGTTGCTGCCCGTGTGGACACCTCCGCTCCTYAGGAACAGTGACGGCAGCCAGGGTGCGTGGAGGCTGATCGGTGTGTCCTCTTCACACTAAACTGTGGCAGCTGCGGGAGTCCTGTCATAGTTAATACCAAAAATAAATCACCAAGTTGTGCATTTAGAGTAGGCGTCTTTGGAGGAAACCGTCTTCTGGCCTCATTAATGCCCCTTTCCAGTGCTGGTTTTCAAGCTCATCTGTGTTAGCTCGGCTGTGCAAAACCTCATCTTGACATTGCAGCAGAGCAAGAGCCATCGTAGTCCAAACAGCTGTGGAAACTTCCAGTGTCTCGGGTTGTGGAGAAACTGCCCAGAGCAGTGAGTTGCCATCAACAGAGTCCTTGAGTAGGTGCCTCTCTTGTTGGGCGGTTGTCAGCAACGGGATGTTGGTTTCCTTGAACCCCCACCTGGCCTCCGTGGAGCATCGTGCTGCCGGTTGGTTTAGTCACAGCAAACAACACTTTCTCCAAGGGGAGGGTAGCGTTGAGTCATGATCCAAGGAGAAAACATATTGGTATGTCTGTATTTGGGTGAGGACTGGCATGGCCATATCGGAGGAGTTGGCCAGTGGATTTAGCTTTGATATCATCCTTCGTGCAGGAGCCTGAATTGGCTGGGAACACATGGCTTTGTTTCTCAGGGTGTGGGGTTTTTTTTTTCCCCTCTCTGTTAGGACAGCTGCGTTTTTAGTAGCAGAGAGTYGGTGCCTTGAGCGTGGCTCTGAGTTCCAGTTCCAGCAGAGATTCCAGCCAATCGTTTGCTCTCTCTCCCTGTGACAGACAGTTTGGAGATGCCATAAACGTTAGGGCCAGTTTGCAGTCTCGTAGCTGAGCCAGGAAGTGGCAACGGGAAGAGCTGCTGGACTCCTGGCGTGACAGGGCTGAGATTTTGTGCTGTGATGACCTTGGGCTGCTGCGAGCAGCGGCCTTGGCCTTGCAGTCAGAGCGAGTTTCTCAAGGGGGAAAAGACACAGGCTCTTGGATGCTCGAATGGAGGGTAGCCTTTTAGCTTCTGAAATTCCCTCTTCCTGAAAATGCAGGAAAACAGAATATAAAGTTTGTRCTTCACTAGAGAAGTACGAACCAGTGAGCACCAAGCCTCATAAAGCCCTAAGATGATACATATTTAAAGTACTTTACAGCATGGCAGGGAGACTATGATGTTATGACTCTGCATTTTSTTCCATCTGCTGCCGAATGCATGAAAAAACAGAGCTTGGAGAGGCAAAGCTGAGATGGGGAATTACCCTTTCATGTAAGAATGAAAAACTTGAATAATAAGAGACTCCGCTGCAGTTGTGATGTAGTGTGCTCTTAACGTTGAATCTGAACAGATCCTACAGTGAGTCACCCAGTTGACTCTTCCTGTTTAGAAGGTACTTAGTATGGCCCATCAGCACCGGGGCTTTTTCTGTGACCAGCTGCACCACCACGGAGGAGCAGAAGTGACTTTTGTTCCCACGTGTCTGGAGCCGTTCCCGGGGCCCGCRCTCCCAAGGCTGCCGCTCCTGCGCCTCTCGAGCTCAGGCAACCTAATAGGGGAGAGGAACCTGATTAGCGGCCCCACGGAGGGAAAAGYGGCAGCGGGAGGGCAGCCCTTATTAGACATTAAAGAATCCACATGGGAGAGAARTGTTCCTGACCGTGGGAAAAGCTTCAGTGGGAACTGGCATTTATTGGACGCTGGAGAATTCGACCTCAAGACGTGCCTCCCTAAGAAATGAGTGTTCATTATTTCTGCTCACAAAGCAGCTTTGATTTTTTTTTTTAATGTGTGTACCAATAAACCGAGGGATGGCTGCTTATATACGGCTTCTTAATTGTGCAGAGACGACTGCAAGTCAACGTGCCTTCCTAATAGAGCTTCAGTCTCTTCACTGGGTGGCCGGAGCAGCTGTATGAGCGAGAAACTGGGGTGGTTCAACTGTCCTTGCATAGTATTTGCCCCTGTAGTTCTGCAGTAAGCCCTTACAATGCAGGATGAATTTGCCTTCCGACTGTGCGGTGTCACAGTGTCCTGATGCAATCGTGAATTTAACTGACCTTGCACGCGAGGGACTGGCCGACGTCGAGGCGATATTAGATGGTGCACAAAGCGCTGAGGGCGAGCGGAAGTTTTATGTGGGTAGCAGAACCTGGGTTCAGCTTCCCCTCTACCTCCTTTGGTCTGTGTTAAGGCATTCCCGGAGCGTTCCCTCGTTTTCCAGGTGGGAAGAAGTTCTCACTTGCCTGCCTGCTCTCCCTCCCACGTCCCTTCTGCAGGGAACGTGATTTAATTTGTTTCTTGATGTCTCTACCATAGCAAAATGGTGACTTTGGCACTGATCTTGCAGATCGGTTGTCTTAATTGGGAATAGCTTGTTTTTCACATCCTAACGCGGAGCGCTGAGCTGCAGAGCAAGAGGCGAATGTTTATTTGGGCACAGAGTTATCTACCGAGACTATCTGGTGCGTCGAGCGCCCTGCTCCTCAGTAACAGAGGCATCAGCCGTATCAGCAAACGTGCCCGTGCTGGCTTTTTAATTCCCCACTCCGTCATCCCTCGCACAGGGATTACGAGYGCAGACAAAGCCCGGGCTGTTCGCSGCGTACGACACAAACACGTGCCCCGTATCTCATTAGCAAAGCCCCTGCTTGCCGCGGGAGCCGGCTGCTTTCCCACAAAGCGAGCGGGGAAACCCGGAGTGGGTTGGGCTCCATGGATAACTGGGCCCGTGGGGGCCGGGGAGAATTCCAAAAGCCATAGGAAAGCTGTGATGAACATTGAGCACAGGCACGTGAGGGTCTTGCTGTGCTTTGCAGCCCCAACAACGGTTCTTGTTCCTGAATGTTCAGCGTTCCCCGCAGGGCTTTATGGCTTGGGGGAGCAGCAGGGGAAATGCCCCAAAGAGCTTTTCCTTGAGAGGCTGAAGGGSTGGTGAGGATCGCTCCGAACACGTGGCCAAGTGTCCGAGATGGCAATCTGGAAGAGCRGGGGAGCCGGGTAGTCAGGGCGTGTGTGTGAATCACTGCTGTCACAAGGTCTGTCCTCAGTGCGAGTCCGAAACCAGGGCTCCATGTGACCTGGAGAGATCTTGATTTGGCGCAGTTTAATGTTGTGAAGGGAGAGGTTTCCATAGCATTCCGAAAACCATCCGCTCTGCTCGTGGCAGCTCATTGCGGTGGAAACAGCAATTTTACGCGGAGAAAGGTAGGACCAGAGAGACATTTAATTTGCTTTATTTTTAGCTGTCTTCAAAGCGATGTAGCAGCTGGAGATAAGGAGAGCCGATGGCCTACACTGAATTTTCCCTGGAGGCTGCTGGCAACCCGTGTGTCGCCGGCGGCCTCTGTCCTGGTACCGCAGGCCGTGAGCTGCTGCCCTCGGGAATGAGCGCAAAGACGCCGGCTCCGCCGTGACCGGAGCTCCCACGGACTGGCCAGGGAGCCCCGGCTCTCCCTGGAGCTAACCTGGGGCTCTTGGCCCCTGGCTTTGCCCATAAGCCACGAAGGGGTCATTTACCAAGGGGAAATCTCCTCCAGATTTGCTTGGAGTGGCAGCCTGAGGAGGACGAGCAACTAGAGCAGGTCATGAGACAGCTGCTCAGACCCTCGTTAAAATGCCCTTTTCCAGGGCTGTGGAATTCAGGGAACAGTTTTTTATCTCTGTGGAGGTAATGTTCCAATTAGCTTGTGTTGTTTTCCTCCCATCCTTGTTCCCTTTAAGAGCTAGAAAGATCCCACACTACCTAAGGATTTTTCCTGGGCAAAGCAGTGAAGCAGCTAGAGTGCAAATGGGGCGTGAAACGGGGCAGCGTGCGGTATCTTCTCTCAGGCAATGTGAGAGTTGATTTATATTGTGTCGTTTTATATTTTCTTGAGATTAGCAAATGCCTATGTAAAAAAAATGTGGAATTTTAAAAGAAGCTTGTAGAGTAGCTCTAGTATTTGTACATCTTGCGTTACCCTGTAACTGGAGAGCCGATTTGTGTGGGGGGGAAGTACAGGACTAGAATAGCCCCCAGTGTGGAAGATTTGGGCTGATTGGTAGTTATAAATACGGAGAAGAGACGCAGGCATCTGGATGAGTATTATTCCAGCTCCCATTATTTTGTCAGGAGGCAGCAGCAAAATAAGAGGAATGTGATGGGTGGCGCGAGGCTTCAGAGCGTGCACGCGCTCTGCTGAACCACGCAGGCCTGGCGCGGGGAGCGGGGAGGAAGGAGTTGGAGCAGCCRTGCGCACCAAAGGGCTGCGGATAGCGGCTTCCAGCCGGGGGAACTCCAGGGAATCCAGAATGCTTGGTGTCCTGTTGGATCGCACGCTCAGTGAGCGGYGCCGAGGCAAACACGACCCCCGGGAATGGCTTCTTGCATCTTGCGTTAATGGAGTTGGCGCGGGAGCGTTGGCTGACGGTCGTGAACTTGTGAGAGGCTGTTTGCAGAGCGGGATGTAAGCACCCTGTAAAACTCGGGAACGGCTATGAAGGGTTGCCCCAAGAGTGGCAAGGGCACAGCCTGCAAAATAAGGAGCTGATATAAAGCGTARTTCAAGGAAAATGGAGAGTTTAAGGTAAAAGAAAGCCTGTGCTTCTCGATTTTTTTAAGCAGTGTTTCCCTATTTTACATGTACAAGGTAATAAAGATCCGAATCAGTTTCCAAAGTAACGAGTTGCTCCTCGGTGGGCCCGCACGGTGCATTCCTTCCCTGGCGCTGGAGACCACCTCAGCAGAGCAGCACGTACCAGTGACCCTTTGGAACGGGCCACTGCGTTGCTGCTTGTGGCCCGGCCTTAAAATTGCGTTCATGTGCTCTCTGCACACTCTGAAATACGGCCTCAGCCCCGGCCCTCACGATACAAACGGCTCGGAGCTAACGATGAAGCGGCGTGAGTTGACGCTGGCGCCTGTGCGTTTGGAGCGCGGCGCACGCGGCCCTGTGCTTGCCGCTCCGTCCGCCCGGGATGGCGAGTGCAGCCTCCTGGAAACCGCCGTGCTGTGGGAGCAAAGACAGGGCCGCGGGTTGGAGGAGCCGCTGCGCGCGGCGATGCCCCTTGCCAGCCCCGTGGCTCTGCACAGAGCCGCCTTTGCGCAGGGGCCTCCCCTGCTCCCGCCGCTCTCGCTTGGAGCGGCGCCCTGCGTACGGAGCCGGCGCATCGCGGCTCCGTGCCCTGCGGAAAGGCTCTCCATTATTGCTTCTTTCTCCCTCATGTAAYGTATAAATCTGCTGCAGTAGCGTGGCTCGTGCTGCAGTGCTGCAGGGACACCAGGGCTGGGCAGCGCGGTGCCGGAGCGGGTCCGGAACGGTGCCGAACGGTGCCCAGCGGTACCGAGCCATCCTCTGCCAGCGCCTGCCAACACGAGAGCAGCTCGGGGGGCCGGGCAGCAGCACTGGGTAGATCAATCTGCACGTTGAGGGGCTACAGGAGGTGGGAACAGAGCACATAGGGGCCTGGGAAACGCTGCCCTTCCCTCCTCGGCAGCCGCCCTTGGACACTTGCGGCTCTCTCCTTCTCCGTTTCTCTTTTTTTTTCTTTCCTTCCCCTCGCTCCGTGTTGCCTTTCTTCTCCTCCTTCCAGCAAAGACGATTGTCACAGATAATCGCTGGGGCTCACGGAGGGCACGGGGCGGCAGACACTTAAATATCTGCACAGCGGGCAGATTGAAACACGCATCTGGGTGATTTAGGACTGCGGTAGAATATGGGAGTGTGTAGCCTCCCACATCCACTCCTGAGCAGGGGAAAAAAAAAAAAAAACAGATGGAAAATTACCGTTTTCTACTGTATGTCTTAGTCTCCTGGCAATTCGGGAAAGGTTTGTTCTTTTGCTTTCAGCACAAGTCAGTTTGCATCAGATAATTTTGCTRTAAAGCTTTGAAAAGTCAGTAGTTGAAGCAGCAGAGGATTCGGTGTGTAGCAGTGTTTTCTGTTGGCAGCAAACACGACCTGCAATCTCCTGTGTTTTAGAGGGGCCTCTTTGTTCCACCCATAGGAAAGCGGAAGGTGCCTCGGGATGGCCGCGAGCTGCCGCCCGCCGTGCGGGACTCGAGCTGCGGCCGCGGCCTCCGCGTCRGGTGGCTTTGGTGCTCGGAGAGCCCGTGAGCCTGATGTGCTCTGATCCTGCCCTCCCGTCGAAGCATGCGTGCGTGTCCGGGTGTCCCAGCGAGGAGATCAAAGCGCTGGCAGGACAGCGGGTGGGAACGGCCGTGGGGCAGCTCTGCACCTTCTGCAGAGCCTTAGGGCAGTTGCCGGAGAGGAGCCAGCAAAAAGGAAGGCCCCTCTGACCCGTYGCTTCCCTGCCTGTGGTACCGGGCCTAAAAACACAGTGGAAGTTAAAGCGCTTGATCCCAGGGCTGCGTTCCGTGAAGTACAAACTAGAGGAAAACAGAATATGGAGCGAGGCTGGCTCGGATAAAGTACAGTAGGTCAATGGGGAGGAGAAGGCCGCATGGGGGAGGCAGCGTTGCCCGCGCTACTTAGGGATTACTCATACAATAACAACGGTGACGTTTTAAAGCATATCAAAACCCGTGCATTAAAGAGTGTCCGGTGCAGGTTCTGAAAGAATTTGCCCGCCTGATTTGCAGGTGTGTGAGCTGCTTTCTTGTCTATATGGCTGAAAAAAGCGTTTCGGACTTGAGGTCTCTTCAGTTTGTTTCAGCCTTGTGCTGCCTTTGCGAATTGGCAGAAAATAACTTGTAGAAGGTCTTTAAAAAGTGGATAAATAGGTATTTTTTTTTCTTTTTCTCCTCCTCCGAATTGTGTATCATTTTGGTTTGTCAGTAGATTCCAAAATAATTAGTCTAATCCTCCTGGGCGACAGGAATGATTACAGTGCAGTCCCGGGTCAGGGCTGTTTGAGAAGGTTGCTGAGTCGGTACTGGACATTTTGTCTCTTTTTTGCTATCACTTTATCTGCCCTTTTGTACCCGTCTTTGCGGGTGTTTTGTTGTGCGTAAACATGCTCAGTTCGTTGTTCCTTGTTTTGTTTTGGTTTTGTTTTGGTGGGGACATTTACTCACCCATAAGTGACTCTACTTAACTCCATAACACACATTAAGCAGGGCGGCATCAACCCCATTCCCGACATTCCCGTTCCCCGCGGCTCATCCCGGATGGGCAGGTGGACATTGACCTCTGGTGCAAGGTACCTCTCCAGGCAGATACCTTTGATACACACCAGAGTAGTGGCATTGCTGTGTTAAGGTCCTTTTTTCTTGAGCAAATTCTCAGTTTCTCTTTACTTTTACTTGTTGTGACACGGTTTTGTTTTAATTACGCCTTGCTTGTTCGATTCAAAATTAGAGGTGCTGTCCTAGTTGCAGATACCTTTCTATTCCTTTAGCTGCTGTTGCTCTGTTATTATAAAAGCAATTTCATGGTAGGCTAACCAAAAGAGGGGATTTTTGTAACTATTTCTGTCAAGTGCAGATGGCCTTTTTGCTCTTTGTGAAAGCAGCTCCCCCAAACTGCTGTGTTTTGATTTTGAGAAAGGTTTTCTTATCGTTTAGGAATGATTTGAATGATAGATTAGAGTGCGGTCTTTTTCTCCTGTCATTAATATATGTGCTTTGTTTTGCCTTTTTTCCCCAGATATGGACGTGTCGAAAGTGTCAAAATCCTCCCCAAACGGGGGTCGGAAGGGGGCGTGGCCGCGTTTGTGGATTTTGTGGACATCAAAAGCGCGCAGAAGGCACACAACTCCGTCAACAAAATGGGCGACAGAGACCTACGGACGGATTATAACGAGCCAGGAACCATTCCCAGCGCCGCGCGGGGCTTGGATGATACAGTTTCCATAGCATCTCGTAGTAGAGAGGTTTCTGGGTTCAGAGGAGGTGGCGGGGGGCCCACTTACGGCCCCCCGCCATCGCTTCATGCACGGGAAGGACGTTATGAGCGGAGACTCGATGGGTAAGTTCCAAGGTTTCTCTAGGCAGGTATTTGGTATTTGATATGGTGAGAAACACAAACTCGTATATAGGGCCCCCAGATGGATTTAAAATTTTGGGAATTATCTATGTTTCCTATTTTGGGTTGGAAACGGAAGTGATTTCTATCCCAGTGGCTGGTACCTTGTGGATCCATAGAGGATGTTTTCTGCAGCTGGTTGGATATCTACACTTGAAATGAGGTGGTTTTAAGATGGAAGATTTCCTTGGCCAGCACCGATATTGGAGTTACTCTTTTCTAGAAGTAACGATTCCATTTCTTGGATAATATTAAGGCCTTATTCGGATGTATCCCTACTACCAGATGGAGCTATATTGCTACAACCTGTGTTGAAGTCCTCTATGGAGTATCTGTGGAATACTAGAACCTAAAATGCTGTGAAAGCTTCATGCCTAGTTCTCAGCTCTCGCTATACGCAGTTTATATATTAATTGGATTGTCACCTAAAATTTCTAGTAGCCTTTAATGATGCGGTCCTTTGGATCTACAGACAACATTTAGCCATGGGAATACGCTTGGATGGAGAAGACCGAAGGCAGCTTTTGATGTTTCCATTTTGGATCTACATCATTTCCAAGTGATTGGGATTATTCTTTCTGATGGTATTGGCAAAAAAGAGATGATGGACATTACTAAATTTTGGAAATTATAGTTTTGTTTTGTTTTTTTTTAATGCTGGGATGAGAACTACTGCCTTGAATTTACTGGATGGTGTACAGTCAAGACGTCAGTAGCCATGGGGAGTGGATTACTATCTAGCCTCTTAAAAAGCTCTTTGCTGCTCCGCATTAACCGTACATTAGTTTTAAGGACGTGGCGCTAATAATCAGTTTTGTGGATACATCAATCAGAAATGACTGGGCTGGATGGTTACAAAGGCGGAGAGAGGAGGATGCCTGCTGGCCGGCAGTGACGAATTCCCTCATGCCGTGGGTGAACTTCTACCAGCTGCTTGATTCAGACATAGGGCTGGAAGTTAAAGTAATGGATCTATTTAAGTGCCTACTGTCTCAAGAAAGAAGGCTGGGGGTTTCAGATCTGTGCTTTCAGTCTGGGACCGCTCGCTTCCAGTGGAATTTTTTTTTTTTGTCTTGCCACTAAGATTTTTTTTTTTCTTGTTGGTTCATCTAAAATATCATTTGACACCCTTGCCCATTAAGAAGGTGGATTACCCCTGTAAGAGGGGCCAAAATTGGGGAAGTTATGTTCACAATTCTCTCCCTAGATTTAATTGGGAATATAGGTCGTGTTTCCACACTTGGAAAAGGTTGGTATGTCCTGCCCTGTGTATATTAGCCCCTCTCCTAACCCAAGTTAAACCCTTTCTTTCCACTAACTCCAGTAGTACTTAGTACTAATAGATAAATCAAACAAAAAAAAAAAAAAAAAAAAAAGCACTGTAGCCATTAGATTTTCAGCTCTGCTAGCTCCTCTGTCTGTCTTCTGTGTCCTTTTTATGGATAAGGACTTTGTTATGTCAGCTATAGCAGTAACCCTCTAGAAAATACTGTTTGGTCTCTTACCTCCACTCTCACTGATTAACACTTTATAGGATGCTAAATGCAATAATTGCCRAAATTGTTCATCTTGTCCCTTCAAAAGGGAGGGGGAGCTCTGTGCTAGACACTCAAACATCTTCAGAAATGCCATTGTTGCACGCAAAGTAATAAAAGAAAGAGCAACGATGGCTTTTAAATGGGGATATATGTTACTGGAATTCACTGTTGCACTGCTTAGGTTGTTTTTATATAGATATACATATAAAATTTGGAAGAAAAATGCAAGCAAGCCATGAGTTAACTCTTTATAATGTCTGAAAAAGGAGCTATAATTATAACACAGGGTTATGTTTAGAGTATTACAGATGTAGTGAATCACTGCAGAAGTTACTGAAGGAACTGCTTGAGATATTAAGCAAAAGATTCAAGTCCAATTTTCAGTTTATAGAGGATATCTGAAATACTTGGGCTATTTTAAATAGAAGACAGACTTGCAATGCAGGAGATGAGGAGGAACTGYAGAGTAGAATTAGGTTATTAGCATTCAGGGGACTGAAGTGACTAATAATTGAATCTGAAGGAAGTATCAGAGARCGATGACGAAAAGGTTGAAACGTCCTTCGTAAGAGGGATAATTAATTTTTAAATTGACTTTGGCCACCCTGACATATTTAGAATTTGGCAAGTATTGCTTTTTAAGCCTGCAGAATATCCATACATTCCATTTTGCAGCTGTAATTTAGACACTGCATCCCGGTACTTGTCTAAATTTAAGCTACTAAACTATTTGTACCATTTGTTTAACTTCCCCTGTCAGTTTTACTGTATATGTATTTGAGAGATCACACTAACATCCTCAGAGCAGAGAACTTTCCTTAATTGACATGCAAAATGTAAATGCTCGAGCAAAATGGGTCGCAGCAACTTGAAATGAGGGTGCTTACAAGCACAGAAGAGGTGCAAATTATATAATTGCAGTAACAGTCTCAACAAATCCACTGAGAAGTTGATTTGTATTCTTCGTGTAGGGATTTTAATGTCTTTTGCGGGCTGCACCCTTTTTGGTAGTTATAAATACTTGCAATTTAAGTACACTGACCCTAGTGCTCAAAACGTGCCTTTGGGTATGCAGCTTTCCCAGGAATTGAGGGTAGCAGCCTGATTGGAGCAAAATTATCTGTAAGAGGCTAAAATACTTAAATTCTAAAAAGAACAGCACCAGGACCCTCCCCTCATTTTTCTGAGCTTCTCTGTGGGTAGTCCTACCCCTTTTGAAAGCAGCTGCTTATTTATCTCTGGGTTATGCTTTGCACTGAGGCTTTCATGACTCCAGCCCAATTTGTGATGCTGTTTTTGCCTAAAGATACCAATAAGAGATGCAAAGATGTGCAGCGGTGGTTATCAAATTTGAGGGCAAAAAAAAATGAAAAAGCAAAAATGGAGAAAATGCAATTGCATTGTTTAAAAATAGGGGTGGTTTTTCTGTCTCCCTAAGATAAAAGAAGATAAAATATTCAAAACAAAAACCACCCAAACTTAAATTAGGATTCTGCCCTGGAAAGTGAGACATTTTCCCRTGTGAGATGCTGGTCATGAAAGCCCCAATATGTGATTAAAAAAAMCGATTGCTCAGCTTTTATTTTATATGAATATAACTTTGGAGTCGGGTATAATGTTTAAGTTTGTCAGTGTTTGCTTGATAGGTTATTGCTCTTTAGCAGAGAATCAGTTGCAAAATTAAATTCTGCGCTGAAGTGAATGTCTGCATGATTTGCTTTTAGTTCTGCTGGCCCCTTCCTGATTGATGAAATGTTTTTCCCCCCTCCTAAATGCAGGGCTTCAGATAACAGGGAGCGTGCTTATGAACATAGTGCCTATGGACACCATGAACGGGGGACGGGAGGATTTGATCGGACRCGGCATTACGAGCAGGATTACTATAGAGATCCTCGAGAGCGGACTTTGCAGCATGGGCTCTATTACACTTCTCGGAGTCGAAGTCCGAACCGTTTTGACGCTCACGACCCCCGTTACGAACCTAGGGCCCGGGAGCAGTTTACATTGCCCAGTGTGGTACACAGGGATATCTACAGGGATGATATTACACGGGAGGTACGAGGCAGAAGGCCGGAGCGGAATTACCAGCACAGCAGGAGCCGGTCGCCGCACTCGTCGCAGTCGAGGACGCAGTCTCCCCAGCGGCTGGCCAGCCAGGCGGCGAGGCCCGCGCGCTCCCCGAGCGGCAGCGGCTCCAGGAGCAGATCCTCCAGCAGCGACTCCATCAGCAGCAGCAGCAGTACCAGCAGCGACAGGTAGGTCCCTTGCGCTCGCGACGAGGTGCCCTGCTGCTCAGGACRCCTCTTGGTGGCCAAGCGTCACCTGCTGAGGTAGGAATCAGCCGTGGCAGAGCACAGCAAGGCTGGGCACCGAGCAAATGCGAGGGGAACGTTGTTGCCGTTGCTCGTTATTTGCCGTGGTGGCTGCCACGTGCGGCGTTGCGGGGCTGCTCGCTGCAGAAATGGGCACCTGCAAACCTCAGGCTTGGCTGCAGGTTAGTTTAGTTAGGTTAGTTTAGTTAGTTTGGGTTAGTTTAGTTGCTCGGATTGTGGCATAAGCAAATTCCAAAGGCCCGACTGTTTTTTGTTGTATGTGTCTTAGACATCATTTCCCCTGGTATTTTATTAAATCTCCAATTTCCCTTAATTCTGTACCACCAACAACATTTAAGAGACTGGTATGTTGTCTCCCGCCTCTTTTTTCCCCTACCTCCTTGCAGCAAAAATTAGAGAGTTGGAAGGGTGATTTGTAAAAATGTGAATGCACGTTTCCTAGTGACATGTCCGTGTATTAGCTATGCAATAGCTGCAATATTTCTGTGATTTTTGTGTTAATTTATAAGCTACCTACGGGGGAAAAAGGCTACTAGAGCTCATCAGGCAGTGCATTTCTTCAGCAGTTCCAATACTCTTGTCAAAGCACTCGGGTATTTAGTTTCTTAACAGCAAACATACCCTAAGGGTGGAAATCAAGGAGTTATTGTGCCCGTGGATATTTTATGCTCTATTTGGTGAACAGCTCTGTTCTCAAGAAAGGTTTTGAGAGTTGGAAACATTTCCTTTTCCTACCAGCTCTTTCTTAAAGCCCAAACTAGTCTCTAAATTTTGATTACTGCTTTGAATGAGACTTTGACACTGGTAACTGTCTCATCAAAATAATTATCGTCATAAAATAATGAGGATCTTGGACTGCAGGGGCCCGTTGGGTTGGCATTGAGGGGAGTGTGCAGAGGTCAAGGCCAGGAAATAAGTTTCTTCTCTTTTTTTTTTTTTTTTCTGATTTTTTTTCCCCTAGATGTGTAAAGAAATTTGCAAGGATTCGCTTCCTTCTTTTAATGATTGTTTTCTTCTCCCAGTTTTAGAAATCCAGTTCCTCTCTTGGTTGGAGAGCTGATGAAAAGAAGGGCACCTCTGGAGGGTTTGAGAGGACTCAGACTGCTTTAAATGCTAGTTTATTTCTAAGTCCTCTCTTCCAGGGAGACCTTAAGAAATTAAGCCACCTTTTGTCCGAAGATTTAACTTTTTAAAAGTTAAATCGTGGCAGAGCTTGTAAAACTGCCAAGATTTCAGAGGTCTCAAAGAAAGGTAGAAAAAATGAAATGTAAGATGCCCTGGTTACATTGAAGGTTTTAAAAACCTCAACCAAGGAAATGTCTCTGATGCTTCTCTACTCATTGAGGAAAAAAAAAAAAAGATAGAAGGAAGCCTAGAAAACTCGTACAATTGATAGAATATCATTCTGGGGATGTCAAGCTGGGATGAAATACGGTTGTGAACTAAATATGCTGCTGGAACGAAGTTTAAGATTTAACTGGAGATAAGCAATGTTTGCTGTGCTTTTAATATCTCATTTTCTTGTAATTTCTAGATCTTGTAATGGAAAATTAGATGCTACTCTGGAAGCAGTAGGGAAATAAACATTTTTGTTTCTTATTAATACAATAAATTCAAATGCAATAGAGCRAGTAATAGAATGTAGTGGATAATATCTTTCATTTTGAAGGGTCAGAAAAGAGTTTTTACATGTCTATAAGCAATGGTTCAGCCAGTAATAAATATTTAACCATATCTTTACCTTATAAAGCAAAATTTTGCCTGACCTCAGTGTGTTTCAAAATAGCAGTGGACTTTTTCGTTTGTTTTGTTGCGCACTTGGAATTTGGTGATGGAAATACTCAGAATTGCTTGTTTAGTAAGTTCTGAACAAAGTGGAGGCTTCATGTGTATGTGTGAATGAAAACTATATTTAGGTCTTTGWTGTGCATCTATTTAACCTTATTTTAGAGCAAAAGCTGCAAGTTAGTGGCTGCGCCGCATTCGTAGCCATGTCTCTGGATGGTGTCAGAGGTGAAGCACGTTTCTCGCTTTGCTTGAGCAGCAGCTCGTGTCGAGGAATGCGGGTGTGTGGCTGGTTCCTGCATGTTTTCCGATTCATTTCTCCTCCCGGGAAGGAGAGGAGCGGGAACGCTCGAGGACAGGTTGTCACGAGGCAGCAGCAAAAGCTCCCGGACACCCTCTGGCCCTGTGGGAGCCGCTGGCTGCTGCTGAGCCGCAACACGGAGGTTGGCGCGAGAAATTTGCACGTGCCCAGACCAGGTAGCAATTTGTTTGCACAGCCCTGGACTGTAATATATTCTGGTTGTGTCATCTCGGGAATWATTTACCAGTTCTGTATCTGTTTTTCCTGTTGTGAACGGTGGTTATCTGGAATAACTAACGCCCAACTTTGTGCTGCAGAAACTGTATTGCTGGTGAGAGGCGGCTTGGGAGAAATTGTCTTTTTGGCATCGTTCTGTAGGTGCTGGGAAACAAGYGGAAAGTTGATAAAGGAAAAACGTTGGCTTTATTCTTTGTGTCGTGGCTTTCAAAGAGCTGTGTAAGCTAGATACGACTTTCATTAAATGGAGATGATTTTTTTTTTCTTTCCTCTGGACAATAATGTGCGGAATGATGCTCGGCAGATTGTTTGAGAAAATGAACAAAGCCTTCATTTCATAAAGGTTTGTGGTTTGTCGCACTTGATCTCAGCTAAGCTTCATTTTAAATGTATATTCAGTTGCCTTTATAGGGGATTTGTAATGGGAACTGCGAAAGAGTAATTTAGAAGATAAGACCAAAAAGAACACAGTGAACATAAACCATATTCTGTGAAGCAGAGCTTTAAATCTTTTTTGATATGTGAACCACTTAAGGAAAAAAAAAAAGAAAAAAAAAAAGAAAGTAGGTGTAGGCCTTTCTAGAAATCTGAACTGCTTAGACCGGTGTGTAGTGTTCTGTGCAGAGAGCTATTTCTGGTGCTCCCTTTCTGTGGCCTCTTGGGAGTTGTCCACATGGGTCAGATGCATCGAAAACCATCCCCGGGAGGCACTTTTCCAAATGCTGCAGCAGGAGTGACCCGCACGGATTTGAGACCTGCTGTTGGCCTTTCAGTGCTGTCGGTGACATTTTGCGGGGTGCTCCCGGTTCATTACGGAGACCAAGGCCAGCGGGTTCCTCCTTGAAGGAGGGGGGGGGRAAAAAAACAAAACAGAAATTGCATTTGCATTTACTGTTACCAGAAGCTTCAGTTCTTACATTTGGTTGTGCACCATAAATGGCATATTAGCAAGAATATTTTTTGTACTGTGTCATGGAAGAACTGGACTCTGCATGAAACTATGTAATCCCATAGGAAGGAAAACAGATTTTGTTTGTGCCCTGCCCAACCTACTGAAAACATACAACTCCTTCCCCCTCCCCCCATCCCTGTTTTTTGGTAGAAAATGCACTTTTCTGGGCTGGTTGTAGAGGTGTTGTAAGGAGCTATAAAAAAAAATGGTTCTGTGCCTTTTGGTTTTTTTTGGTTTTGTCACGTCAAGCGGCTTTGCGCACGTCTTAGTGCTCCATGTGTTGGTGGTTATTTTTAAAGCTTTGCTGCAGCAGAGTGTTGAATCATGCAGAACAGGGGGATGTTTTGCTTGTAGAAGCTGGGCGTGTGTTGGAGCACCCCATTGAAATGGGATTTAGACTTCTTGGCCAAAACCCTGGCAAAAATACCCCATTTCCTAGGTGCAGAGGGGCTTTCTGGGCGGCGTGTTTGTTAAAGTGTGGGCTCCACGCGTGTGTGCATGTCAGTACATTTACAGACAAGGGGCCTGAGATTGTCGTTCTTTTAAGAGTGCTTATTCAGTTGTCTGAGGTCTAGCATGATGGGAGGATACTGATTTAATAGTTAGCTGGCTAATTAGTTGTAGTTTGCAATGAAAACAGTGGTTTTGATAGGATTATAAAAGCAAATTCAGCATAGATGCAAATTAACTCTTTGCATCAGGAGCTAGGAGGATTTGGTAGTGCTGAATTAAAGCTCTGGTAAAAAATGGACATGTTGAAGTCTAAAATTGACCGTTTTGGAAACGGTGACATGCTGTTGTGCTCAAATGACAATCACAAGTGGGCAGGGTTTTTATAGAAAAAATAGTGATTGTTTTTTATTCATTTTAGATTTATCTGTGATTAMATCTTTCCTAGATCAACAAATGAGCTGCAGAAGGAAGGAGTTACATGTTTGTCTTATTCAGGTGTCTTAATATTGACATAAACTGAAAGAAAATATTGCCAAGAGAATTTTAATGACAGCAGAAAAGCAGGTTGAGTAAAATCTTCCCGTTTATTTTATTTCATGGGGGATTTCTTTAGTGTTTAAACAACCGAAGTGAAAGTAGAAAATAATGATTTTAGTTTCATTACATAATGCAGACCTTTCCCWACCATTGTCTTCATCTCTTTTTTTTTTTCCCGTGCAGTTTGTCTGCCAGCAAGCGATGAATCACTGTCTTCAAATGGGATTTGGGGTTTTTGAGGGAGCCGAGAGATCCCTGTGCTGGGGAAGAGTTAAAAAATAGCAAAGAATTAGGTTAAATAAGCAGCTTTGTAATACTGTGAGGTAGGCTTGAATAATCCCACGTACATTTTGCACTGCACACGCCACTTAGGGATCCCTYGCGTAGTTTTAATTTCTCTGTACAGGACAAAAGGTTCCCCAGCTTAATGCTGAGCGTGTTCCTAGTTGTATGGGAAAGGGAACCGGGCGAGCGGAAAAAAATGCCCAGCGTAKGAAGCCTCCCTTGAGCGGCTGTGAAAGCACCGGCAAATCCTGCTCCAGAGGCAGGTGAAACATCTCATCTTTACCTTTTGTTCGCATAAAGCCGGGCGGTGCTTTGATGTTTTTCTCTGTAAAGGAAAAGGTGAATTACGGAAAGGAAAATTTAAAAAAATCC